CTTGGGCCTGGGCTAGGAATACGCTTTCAAATCTACCCATCAAGTCCCTCTCTAGAATTTCTAGCCAGATCATGTTTCTCTTTCTAGATTCAAAAGGGTTCCACAGGACCATGTTGAGCTTGTGTAGTTTGACTTGTCCTGGTTTTCAGGATTTGACAACCTTTTCAGTTACTGTTCAAACAAATTCCCAGATGGAAACTTCTAAAGTGATTCAAATCAATTCTAACCCAATTATTGAAATTGAGGGCAATTTGTTGGCCAAAATAGCTCAAGAAAATTTAGGAAAGAATTCAAGACTCCAATCAAATGCCTTAACTCAGATTGTGAATTTCAAGCCAAACCCTCAGCCTGAGCAAACCCAAGAAAAACTCTAGCAAATCCCAACCCAATTGGGCCGGCTATGCAAAAAAGGCCAGTTACATGAAGCACAAAACTCTTTGAAACTCTCTCTGAGCCAAAAAATATAACGTATAAAAAACTCTTGTAGGTTTATGTGCAATAGATAGCCTAAAAGAGCTCTTGAGTTCTACAGTAGATTGGTTTCAGACAGCCTGAACCTGACCAGACCACTACACCATGAAATTGCATTGAATTGCAGGACTTAAGATTAGGTGAGGCTACACACTCACATATTATACTCAATGGGGTGAACCAAAGTCAAATTCTCACAATTCTCAGCTGAACTTGTATAGTAATCGTGTAGACTCTCATTTGATTAAGTCCTTGTTCAATAAAATGCCTCGAAAAAACACAATGGCTTATAACACCGTAATTTTCTGATTAGTTGGGTATGGGCAAGCTTCAAAAAGGTCTTAAGATTTGAATTTGTGGGTAGAGCATGTAGAGTGAGAGAAGACTGTGTGGAAAATAGGGGGTTAGAGGCTTAGGGCCCAGTTGGTTCCCCCAAAATGGGTCTCCCAGATACCCATTTCCATGGAAACAGCCCATAAATGCTGCTTGGATGCTCTCCCAGGGCGGGAGTTCCATTTCTGCATGGAGACTGATTCCACATTTTAAGCCCTTTTTGTGGAAATGTCATTTCCACCAAACTAGGTGGAACTAACATTTTTGGGAGATTGAACGCGAGCCACGAGCCCCAAAAACTTGCAGTAAGATATATTTTATAAAATGGCTTGAGGTCACACAAAAAACCGACCTCACACCCTAGAGCTGTAATGATTAACATATATGCATAACAAATAATAACATATATTACATTAATTATATGTAATAATCATATAAGTATATATAATTATAATAATTGTATAGTTATATATTATAACGATAATTATTTACATTTTATAACATATATAGTGAATTTATATATTATAATATTATTATATTAATTATTATATATAATATTACTAATATATCCATTTACCATTACGTACTTTACCATGATGTACCTTTCTCTGTTCTATTGAATTTGTGCTTGCTAAACTTATTGGCACGCAAGTCTACTTTTGATGTATGATGTCAATGTTCAACTGAGAGAGACAGACAGAGAGATAGAGAGAAGAGTACAAGCTAGTTATGAATGAAATACATGCCTAATAGGAAAATATCATTGACATCTAATTTTGTCAGCTAAAAACTCAAAAATATCCAAATCTATAAAAATACTAAAATACAAGTAGTCAGTCAATCAAACACAATAAAAAACATATTAGCTAAACACTCAAAATATCAAAACCTATAAAAATACTGAAATACAGGTAGTCATTCAATCAAACACAATAAAAAACATATTAGGATAATCCATAATCCAGAAATATGGAAAGTTAGCAAAGCCTTCATTAATTTTCAAATTTCTGAATATTCGAAATTATGCTCTATCAAATAGGGTCTTATTTACTCCAATATGCTCATATTTTGTTACACTAATGCTTGAATGTCAAAGTAAAGATAATTCCAATGATAATAACTTCTAGAATGGAGAGATAGAGTCAGTTAGCAAAGGAGGATGATGTATAAGATGATATGTTTGCAACAGAAGATGTCCAATGCGAAGGAGTACTTGGATGGGATAGATATACAAGAAATGATTGTTTGGATATAAAGAGTTAAGAGTAACCTGTATAAAGTGGAGCAAAAAGACCCACTCTATTGGATAAAGGCACAAACAACTAAATAATTGTTGTTTCCGTAACAAAGACATTCCGTCTATGATGCAGGGTTTTTGCTTTTAATTTTTTACACATGATTTTGAAGTATCCATCAGAAGTGCACACCCATTTCTAGATCTCCGTGCATCATAGGATTCCATATATCATATCATCAGGTTACCAATATCTTTTTCTATGGAGGATGTTTAGACGCATTGGCATAATTATCTGAATTTCCTATCAGTGGGTTGTTCAGAGAGTGGCTTGAGAAAAAAATAAGGGAGGGAGCAATTTAAACTACAGCCCAAGTTTGTATACTAAAATAAACACGCCCGGAGTTTGGATGCTTAAACAACAACTTTATCAGGTTTTCAGGAAACTTATCAAGGAGTTCTTCTCAGAACAATCAGAAGTTCACTCTAGCATGAAGCATCTTAAGGGTGTAGTTCCCACTCAAACTCACCATTTCCCCTCTTTTCAAATGTTTTAAGTGCAACCACTATAAATGATGTAAATATGGAGAAGATACACAAGATAATGATTTGCAAGACAAGAAGTCCAATCCCCACGATGATGGTCTCTAATTCTATTTCCCATTTATTCAAAATGTTTCAAAACAATAAAAACAAATATCATGATGACCTGTAAGTCATGTAATTGATTCCTTTCCTTCCGAATCTAAGATGTCCTGTAATGGTATTTTCTAATATTTTATTTCATTATTGTATCAAGCATATTAATATTGATTTTCCTTGGATAAACTAGCAGATGGAGTCATTATCTTGCCTTGTGTATCTTCCTCAAAGCTGGTGAGAGACTTGTTCACTAAAGTCATAAATCTCAGAAAGACATCTATTTAGTAAGAAACAGTAGCTTGTTGACATAGAAGCTCCAATTTGAAGGCACAAGTTAGAGCATTATGTATAACTACATGATTGACAGCAGTGTCCATAAACATGAAGAACTCGTCCGACTCAGTTATTGCCAAGAACCAAGTAAACTTGCTTTTCTAAACAGTAACTTGCAAAAACTTAGCGAGTTTTCGAAACTTGTAAAAAGTGGAAATGACAAAACAACAAATGCACATGCTTGTGTACACACAAACACATACATACATACATACATACATACATACAAACATACATACATGCATGCATATATATATATATATATATATATATAGAGAGAGAGAGAGAGAGATGTATGTGTGTATGTATTGTGCTATATAGATAGATAGAGTAGAGAGCGAGAGAGAGAGAGA